TAATGAGAACAACAAATAATACAGTAATACAAAGGACATGTACTGGATTCAGAGAAGACTTTCGGACCACCCTGTAGTAGCAGCCATTACTAATTCAATTTGACGAAGTATTATCACATAGTATTATTAGTAATATTATTAAATGAAATACTGACGGCCATTACTACTTTATTAGATGAATTACTGGGTGATCCGAAAGTCTTGTCACCACTTACCAAAAAGTAATGAGAAAAATAGAACAAGTAATACAGTAATACAAAAACGCATGTACTGGATTCAATTCATTCACTTTCATTGACGCTGTCATACATAGAGAAGGTTTGTATGAACAACATCATTTTTATAGCACAAAATGATGCGACGCCATGTCCCGTGTGATATTTTACGAAGTTCTGCTTTGTTGTTTGTTGCAAAGGCTCTCCAAACTGATGGATATTCTGGTATCGTTGATTTGAAACTCTCTCCTTGATAATTCCCCACAGAGCGTTGAAATAGAAAATTACATCATGGAAGGTATGGCAATGCTTTCGGACCACACTTGTACATATAGAACAAACAAAGCTGTTACTTCGATTATCAACCTTGACAAAAACGTCTATTGCTCTTTTGTGTCCTTCTATCCAGGTTTAGAGTGACGATACTGTTTTGGCGCGTCGCATTGTTATGATTCTATATTTTGCAGCGGACCTATTTTAGCAGACAAAGAAGACTCGCAGTTGAATAAATGTGTGTTAAAAAGCTTTTATTTACATATGCATATATCAGAAAGCAGCAAGAAAGGTCAAAGAAAACCCACGGCTTATAAAACACCGGGAATAGACGACACCACATTACTATACGACAATTGACCGGAAATCCGCTGAGAATTATCGTTAACGCACGCGCGTGGACATTCGAAGGAAATCCGCGATTGACAAGACGAGAACTGTAAGAACATTGGATTCCGCAGACTGTCCAGAAAAAGATCCATTCTGAACAGCTTGACTCTCTCTCTCTCTCTCTCTCTTCTTTACATCTCTTGCATCTTTGTTTTTGTTTTTTATTTTTTTTATTGGAACATCTCATCACCCAGATCTTTTCGCTTCATCGTCCGAGATTGTACATTCTGCGATCTCAGACATTTTTTTATAAGAGTCTAAAATCACTGTTGAACAGGCGATTTGGCATTGCGAATGTGACAAGTAATAGTGATCCTGAAAGAGGGACCTTGTAGACTGTTTTTTAAAAGAATAAAGAAAAACACTGACATTGGGGATTATTAAACAGAGTTAAAGGATATCAGGCCAAATGACGGTTCAGAGAACAAATATTTTCTATGAAATTTCTCGGACATTCAGGCCGATAAATGTAATTAATACTGTTTATTATAAACAAAGCGTTTACTAAAATAACTGTATCTACAAAGATAACGTATGAACATAAAATATAATAAATAATTGTCGAACTAAGTCCATTTCATAATTATACGCACAGACACAGATACACACACACACATATATATATATATATATATTCTGTCCAAAGTTCATATTTTGTTTAAGTACATTCGACTATCGCAATATATATATATATATATATATATATATATATATATATATATATATATATATGGTATCAAATGACAATTGGAAAAAAAATCTTACATTTTGACGACGCGTATCGTCTTCCAAATTTTCAAGGCAAAAATGAAATCGAAATGTTTTTGTTGTTATAGTTACATTAAAAATCCAAATTTAAAAAGATAGACGCTTCTGTCTTAGCCTCTTTTTCCTGGTTAATGTAAAGTCGGAAGACGCAACGCGTCGGCAAAATATAAGATTTTTTTCCAATTGTCATTTGATACCAATCTGTCTTGTCCACAGAATTCATTTGGGAATTTAACTATATATATATATATATATATATATATATATATATATATATATACCGAATGGGTAAATATAGGTAGGTATACGAGCGAGCGAACGTATAGAAATACATATAAATACTCTATAGTGTAAGATAAAACAGACCTATTTAATATATATATTAAGAAATATACGTAATACCTTACATTAATTGCACAACTCTGAGTTTCATACCGAAGCAATTGTCAGTTACTTTGGCATCAAACTCGGTGTTGTGCAATTAGTGTAAAGTATTATGTATATTTAATATATATATATATATTACACGAGTGACCAAAGAAAATAAAAAAGATTAATCAAAAACGAATAAATCCAAAACAAGTGAAAACCCGATGAGAAACGATAAAAAGAATACATAAACCAAAAGGAAAAGACCCAAAGTTAGACACTTATCTAAAAAGTAATAGAGAGTGCTCAATGTCTAAATGACCAAGACAGAGCAACTACGCTACCCAGCGAGACGACTCAAAAAGAAACAAAGTTCAGTCTGCTACTCGAGTTTCACGCAACAACGATCCTCAGGTTCTAAGCTTGGAAGTGTTTTAACGGAGGACGGAAAATGCGACGCCGAAATTTGAAGTTCTTGGGTAGCGAAAGATGCCTTCAAAAAGCTAAGCATAGTATTTACAAACGGGAAATTTTCAGTGGAAACAAAGAACAGACTGTTGAACAGTTATGTTATATCGATACTCCAACTACTATTGTTTGCAACTGAGTTTGTACACGCTTGGAGGAAGTTTTCGATTCTATTCTTGTGTGCGTAATTTCTCTAGGTTAGAAGCAGAAAATATGGTTGTCAGAAAAATAAACAGCCCAATATGCAAATTACAAATCGAAGATAGCAAAGTTAAACAAGTGCAAAAATTGAGAAATCTAGGAAGTGTTTTGACAGAAGACGGAAAAGCGAAAGATGCTTTTAAGATAAGAATCGTATTAAGAAACAGGAAAATATCATTAGAAACAAAGAAAAGAGTACTGGACTGTTATGTAATATGTGTCCTCCGATATAGCAGTGAATGTTGCAGAATCTCCTCGCAGATGAAGAAGAGACTTCAAGCAAGAGAAACAAAGAAATGAGTACTGAACTGTCACGTGATATCAGTCCTCCTATATGGCAGTGAATGCTGGAGATTCTCCTCACAGATAAAGAAGAGACTTGAAGAAAGAGAAACAAAGAAAAGAGTACTGGACTGTTATGTAATATCAGTCCTCTTATATGGATGCGAATGTTGGTGAATCTCCTCACGGATGAAGAAGAGACTTGAAGCAAGAGAAACAAAGAAAAGTGTACTGGACTGTTATGTAATATGAGTCCTCCGATATAGCACTGAATGCTCAACAATCTCCTCACAGATAAAGACACTTGAAGCAAGAGAAATGAAGAAGAGAGTACTGAACTGTTATGCAATATCGGCCCTCCGATATAGCAGTGAATGTTGAACAATATCCTCACAGATGAAGAAGAGACTTGAAGCAAGAGAAACAAAGAAAAATGTACTGCACTATTATGTAATATCAGTTCTCCGATATGGTAGTTAATGCTGGAGATTCTCCTCACAGATGAACAAGAGACTTGAAGCAAGAGAAACAAAGAAAAGAGTACTGGACTGTTATATAATATCAGTCCTCCTATATGACAGCGAATGGTGGACAATCTCATCACAGATGAAGAAGAGACTTCAGGTAACAGAAATCTGGTTCGACGGATCGATACTGAGAATACCATGGAAAAATGAAAAGGGAAATACACATATACATAGCATCATAAGGAGACAAATCCTATTTCTAGGGCACATAATGAGGAAAAAGGGCTTGGAAAATTTGACACTCACAGGACATATTGAATGAAAGATGGATAGAGAAAAATAGTGCATAACCTACCTACGCGCTTGTGTAAATAGCTGACAGAACAGGGGTTAGGAGAGATATGAAGAAGCCAAATTTTTTCTAAAGGCTACAAAGGACATGAAGCTGTGAAGAGCCATGGTTTCCCACGGCCTGGAGGGGTCTGACACAAAGAAGAATAAGAAAAGAGCTTCAGTAAGAAATCTGTTTAGTCCGAAAACTTGTACCCAGCACTTAAGTCACGTGAGCAATTTCTGTCTAATAATTTTCCTCGGCTACATTTGTCATTGATATTTCTTTGAAAAATGCAAAATTTATGGGGGGGGGGAAGCCCCGTATATTTTGTATATATTGCATTCTTTAGGTACAGGTGCCGGATGTAAAAACGTAATCTGAATTCATGTGTTATGTACCTTCAGAATGTAACGGTCATAGCCCTCCACAACTTCCTGTCCCTTAACACTTTACCACCCCTCATTATCCTTATTCTAACAGCCATTCACCTATATTCGTTATGTAGGTTACTCGCCGCTTCTCTTGTCTTCAGTAATTCTGTAAGTATTAAATTCCTCAGGCTATCTGTCCTTATGACATGTCCCAGAATTTTCGACTCTTTCTGATTGTAAGTATACGTTTCCTTATAGTTCATTTTCATGAAAACAACCTCGTTGCTCACATGTCCAGTCCCTGCGTACGAACCAGATTTCTGTTGTTTCCAACCTCCCCATCATCTCAGAGAAGACTGTCCAGCTCCAAGATTCTTTTTGATCTTTTTTTTTTTTTTTTTTTTTTTTATTTAATATATATCGTAAAATTTTTAAATAGCTTTGATATTCTTTTATGCTTATGTTAACATTTTTGTATGCCAGGGTATTTCAAAGTTCATGACTTTTCCAAGGACATCTGTACCGAAAAACCCAAGCTAATGCGTGTCTCTAAATTAAGCAGATAGCTTTCCAAAGTACTGCTGAAGTCAAAATGGTGGGCGAGAAATCACTGGGAAAAGAACTGACTAAACGAAATAAAATGACGACGAACGCGAAGAGCGATGTCAAGAAGAGAGAAAAGCGAAGAATGATGAAGGTGAATTTGCAGTTTCCTTAGTAGAGTTGACCTCCTCCGTACCGCCTCGCCTACGAACCCACTCTGCCATTCAGCCAGCCAACAAGGCAGCACACGAAATTTTCTCTGGCAGGCAGAAAGATCGCGCATCGAAGTCACTTTGACTGTGGCCAGGAAAGCTGTCTGATGGCGGCCGCCATAACTGCTGCTCCTGCTGCTGTTGCAAGTGTTTCTAACTCGGCTCTATTGCGCAACTTGCCAAGTCGTCTGCTTGTTCATTCCGGGGATTATGATAATAGTCGTGATTGTAGCGATGGTGTCGACTTTGCCGCTCTAACCCTCTGCCGTACTCATCCTCCCTACTTACACACCCACTCGTGCCAATTTCCTTTTGGTCTGATTGTACTACGCTCTCCCTCTTCCCATACTCTTCCGCTTCTCAAGTTTATGCTTTTTCTCTCAATTCTCGCGCTATCCCCCCTCTCTCTCTCTTCCTCTACCTACCTATCTGTCTATCTATCTATCACCCTTTCATTGCGATATATTTGTACCCTTTCTTTTTTATTGTTTCTCGTCTTCATCAATTCTTTTCAATGCATTTTCAATTCCTCCGCACTTTATTCATTCTATTTTGTTATTTACTGCTTTCTTTCCTTCTTTTTCTTTCTTTTTAACATCTATTTCTTTCTTTATGTTTCTAGTCAATTTATTACTCTTTCTATTGTTTCCTATTTCTTTCTTTCTTTCTTTCTTTCTTTCTTTCTTTCTTTCTTTCTGTCTTTCTTTTTAAATGCTTTCTGTTCTCGTTTTCTATCCCTTTCTTTTTTCCCCTTTCTTTTTTCCCCCTTTCTTTCTACTTTTCTCGCTTTCGTTTTTCTTTAAATCTGCTTTGTCTTTTTATCATTCTATAATTTTATTTATATTTTTAATGCATATTCTAAAAATCTTGGATATGATTTTATTTCTATTTTTAAGGTTTCTTTTCTCTTTTTCTATCTCTTTCTCTTTTTCTTTCTTTCTATCTTTTCTTTCTAATTTTCAGGCACATTTTCTCTTCCCGTCTTCTATCCTTTTCTCTCTTTCTTCCTTTCTTTTATTTTTTCTTTCTTCTATTTTATCTTTTTATTTCTAAATGTTATTTATATTTTCATTTTTATATTTTTAACATTTATTTCTAATTTAAAGTTTATTTTCTCGTTTTCTATTCCTTTCTTTCCTTCTTTCGTTTCTTCATTGTTCCTTTCTTTGTTTCTTTCTTGCATATATTTTGTCCCTGCACGTCTAAATTCTATTCATATTTTGAGGTTTCTTTCCTTAGCCTTTTCTTTCTTTTTCTTTCTTACCTTCTTTCTCTCATTCCTTCCCTCTTCCTTTTTTCTTTCTTTCATTTTCCTTCTTGATTTCTTTCTTTTTTTCATGCCTTCCAGTCTTCTTTCTTTCTTTCATTACTTCTTTTTCCTTCCTTCCTTCTTTCCTTTTATTATTTCCTTCCTTCTTTCTTTTATTCCTTCTTTCTTTCCTTCTTTCTCTCATTCCATCGTTCTTTCTTTCACCCTTTCTTTCATTCCTTCCTTCCTTCTTTTCTTTCATTATTTCCTTCTTCCTTTTATTCCTTCTTTCTGCCTTTCATTCCGTCTTTCCATCTTTCTTTCGTTCTTTCATTTCTTCCTTCTTTCTCTCATTCCCTCCTTCTTTCTTTCACCCTTTCTTTCATTCCTTCTTCTTTCCTTCCTTCCCCCTTCCTTCTTTCCTTCCTTCCTTCCTTTTATTATTTCCTTCTTTCTTTCTTTTATTCCTTCTTTTTTTCCTTCTTTCTCTCATTCCTTGGTTCTTTCTTTCACCTTTCTTTCATTCCTTCTTTCCTTCCTTCCTTCTTTTCTTTTATTATTTCCTTCCTTCCTTCTTTTATTCCTTCTTTCTTTCACCCTTTCTTTCATTCCTTCCGTTTTTTCTTTCATTATTTCCTTCTTTCTTTTATTCCTTCTTTCTATCTTTCATTCCGTCTTTCTAACTTTCTTTCTTTCTTTCTTTCATTTCTTCCTTCTTTCTCTCATTCCATCTTTCTTTCTTTCACCCTTTCTTGCATTCCTTCTTCCGTTCTGTCTTTCTTTCTTTCTTTCTTTACTTCCTTCTTTCTTTCGTTCTTTCTTTTATTCATTCTTCCATTCCTCCCTTCTTTCCATTTACGTTTCTTTCTTTCTTTCTTTCTTTCTTTCTTTCTTTCTTTCTTACGTTCGTTCGTTTGTTGACTTACTTACTATCTAAGTCCCAGTTCTTTCTTTTTTTTTCTCTATTTTCTTTCTTCATCTCTCATTTTTTTCTTTCCGTGTTTTCGTTCTATTTTTCTCTCTTTCTTTCTCTCTTTTGTTTCCTTTCTCAATTGAAACGCCGATTACATCACTATCACTGAAGTTAAGCATCGACGAACCTGGTCAGTACCATGAGGGTAAATATTTCGGAATACCAGGCGCTGTAACCTTGGATGTGCGGGAAGTGTAATGGATAATGGCTCAGAATTTTTAATAGGTGTGCCGAGTTCCAAATCCAGTTGGGTTCGTTATATTCACTTACCTGCAAATACCCTTGGAAAAGGCACGCATCCACCTCTTCTCCCCCAGCTATGGGTTAATTAGACTTGTATCACTAAATCATTATTATCTTTAAAAATCTAAAGTCTTAAAATACTTTCTGGCTTTAAGTAACATGAAAGTGTCGATAACCCGTAAAAAAAAAAGAATCAATTGTGGTGAAAGCATTAATGAGCATCTTTTTCGTTCTGGTAAGGGATGCAATGGTGTCTTATATGTCATCAAAAAAACTCAAAGAAATTGCTTAACTCTCTAATAGGAAACTGTATAAACACACACACACACACACACACACACACACACATATATATATATATATATATAATCGTTTTAAGAGAAAGATTTATAAATTTCAGCCGAAAGAAGTACTAGTTACACAGTCAATTGATTCAAAATGTTTCCTTATAGGGAAACGGCTTTAAAGACTAACCTAGCTCCGAAGTAACCTTAGCACTAATCCTTATGCCTAGCGCTAATACATTTCTCTAACACGCAACACTAATCCTTTTACCGTAGCTTTAACGCGTAACGCTGAACTTAAATCCTTACGCTAACACTAACCCTGGCTCTTACATCTAACCCCTAACCATACTGTGATGCTTTAATCTTTAAACTTAGACCTAACGCCTAACCTAAGCCTTAATCCTTAACCCTAACACCTAACTTTAAACAATAAGTCTGAACCTAAAGCCTAATCTAACACTTAATTGTAGCCCTAATCTCAAATTGACCTTAGTGCTAACGCATAACCCTAAACCTTCATCATCCAATCCTAACCCAATCAGCTTAACAGTAACACTATAAGGTCCATTATCCAACCCTAATCCAATCAACATAACAGTAACACCCTCCGAAGCGACAAACAGTATGTATTTTGCTACTGTAGGTCCAGTGCTGATATCTTAAATGTCATTACTCATAGAAGCACTTCTGGTAGACTTTTATCGGGTAGATCCATGAAGCTGTTAATGATCAGTCCTCTGACACCCATGAGATCAACAAAAATGCCAACTTAGGCTCTCTGTTCGGCCATACTCATTTCCTGCAATATATTATTGTTCTGAATAAAAACATTCGCAGATCACTAGTAAATGTATATACAGATGATACTACAGTTTATGGGAACCCACCTAGATGACCAGAATCTGCTAACTGATCTCTACTCTGGCTTTGATCGTAGTTACTGCCCAGTAACGTCTCATCATTTTTCTGACCTGATGAACGGTTCTTCTCTCACTGAGGCTCTTTGCCATGGACGTCTTTTGGGACCTAAGCTCACACCAAGTCTCAAATGTTCCTTTTGAGGTGTTCAAAAACATTCTTATCGATTAAAGATTAGAAGAGTTTTCTGATGACACTAAGGAGACTAATGGGTCGATATTGCGAATGTATATACGATCCATCACTGAAGATGCAATAAAAATGGTCGGCCTCATGTACCTGACTCCTCCTAACAATGCTCTGCCGCCACAGGAGACAGATTAGACTTAAAATTTAGGGGTGCTGCCATATTTGAAAGGGACTGGCAGTTCTCACTTCCCTTTTGGGATTCAAGCTCACAGCAGACCCTAAGAGGAATGAATATATATATATATATATATATATATATATATAAAATCTATCGCTGAAGACGCTATAAAAACGGTCGGCTTTTTGTACCTAATTCCTTCTAAAATGCTCTAACTCTACAAATGGAGCCAGCCACAAGAGACAGATTAGACTTAAAATAGATTGATACTGACATATCTGAACCGGAGCTGCCAATCCCCACTTCTCACTTGGGATTTAAGTTCATACCAGACCCCAAGTGAAGTGATGTGAGATCCATCCCTGGGGACAATGTAAAAAAAATTTCGGCTTCACGTACCTGACTTCTCCTAACGTGCTCTACCCATAAAATGTCAGATTAGACCTAAAATGGAGCGGTGCTGCCATATCCAAAATGGAGCTGAAAATACTCTCTTACCTGTTGGAACTCAAGCCCATACCAGACACCAAGTGGAAGGTCTATATACGATCCATCGCAGAAGTCTCTGTAAAAATGTCGGCTTCATGAACCTGACCACTTCTAACATGCTCTAAATCTACAGTTTGATTAGACCTAAAATGGACTCATATCCGAAACGGAGCTGCTAATTCTCCCTTACATGTTGGGACTCAGGCCCATACCAAGCACCAAGTTTAAACAACGTTTATCCAACGCAGAAGATGCTGTCAAAACTGTCGGATTCCTGAGCATGACTCCTCCTAACATGCTCTACACCTACAAAAGTTAGATTAGACTTAAAGCGGAACGGTGCTGCCTTATCTGAAAGGGAGCTGTCCTTGTTGGGACTCCAGCTTATCACAAACCCCAAGTAAAACCGATATATCCGATCCATCGCTAAAGACGCTGTAAAAATGGTCACCTCCATGGAACTAACACCTCCATACATGCCCTACCGAGACCTTAAATGGTCTGTTACTGCCATATCTGAACCGGGGCAACCAATCTTCACGTCACTGTTGTGAGTCAAGCTCATATGTGGAACCGATATGATCCATCGCTAAACACATGGTAAAAATTGTATTTGGAGCTGCCAATCCTAAGTTCCTCGTTGCGACTCAGGCTCATCCCGAGTGGAAGATGTACACCGTCCATTGCTGAAGACGGTGAGAAAATGGTCGGCTTCATGTACACCACTCCTCCTAAAAGGGCTCTACAAGAGTTAGATTAAACCTAAAATGGAATTGTGCTGTCAAATCTGAACCGGATGTGCCAATACCCACGTCCCTGTTGGTACTTAATCTCATACTAGACATCAAAAGAAACCTGTATATACGATCCATCGTAGAAGACGCTGTGAAAATGATCGGGTCACTTTGACACCTTCTAACAGGGTCTAACCCTACAAACGCCGGATTGAACCTAAAATTGAGTTGTGTTGCCACATCTGAAACGGGGCTGCCAATCCTCACTTCCCTGTTGGGACTCAGGCTGATCCCAGACCCAAAGTGAAACCTATATATACGATCCATCACTGAAGACGGCGTAAAATTGTTGGCTCATTGTACCTGACCCCTCTTACATGCTCTACCTGTACAAGACTGACATTAGACCTAAAATGGAATGGTGCTGCCATATCAGAACCGGAGATTCCAATACCTTCTTCCCTGTTGGAACCAGCTCAAGCCCTACCCCAACTGAAACCTGTATATACGACCCAGCGCAGAAGACGGCTTTAAACATTGTCGGATTTATATACATGACATTTCCTAATATGCTCTACTTCTACAAGAGTTTGATTAAACCAAAAATGGAATGGTGCTACCATATTTGAACTGGATCTGCCAATCCTCATTTTTTGTTGGAACTCTATCTCATACCAGACCGCAAGTGCTACTGAAGACGCTTTAAAAATGGTAGCCCTCCTGTACCCGTCTCTTCCTTATATGCTCTACCCCTACAAAAGTCTGATTAGACCTAAAATGAAATGGTATTGTCATATCAGAACCGGGGCTGCAAATGCTCATTTCTCTTTTGGAACTCAAGTTCATACCAGACTCCAAGTGAAACCTTTATATACGATCTATCGCTGGAGACGCTGTAAAAATGGTCGTCTGCCTGTACATGACTCCACCTAACATGTTCTAACTCTACAAGAGCCATATTAGAACTAAAATGGAGTTGTGCCGCCACATCTAATCCGGGTCTGCCAATTCGCCCTTCCCTGTCGGGAATCCAACTCACACCAGACCGCAAGTGGAATCTATATATATGAACCGTCGATGAAGTCGCTGAAAAATTGATTGGCTCCCTAACTCCGCCAAACATGCTCTACAACTACAATAGACATATTATATCTAAAATGCAATGGTGATGTCATGAGTGAACCGGAGTTGACAATCTTCTCTTCCATGTTGCGACTCGGGCTCCATCGCAACCACAACTGGAACCTGTATATACGATCCATCGCCGAAGAAGCTGTAAAATGGTCGGCTTAATTTACCTGACATGCTCTCCCCGTAAAAAGTCAGATTAGACCTAAAATTGAAAAGTACTTCCGTGTCGGAAATGGGGCTGCTAATCCTCACTTTTTTGTTGGAACTCTAGGTTATACCAGACCGCAAGTGCTACTGAAGACGCTGTAAAAATGGTCGCCTTCATATACCCGTCTCTTCCTTATATGCTCTACCCCTACAAAAGTCTGATTAGACCTAAAATGAAATGGTATTGTCATATCAGAACCGGGGCTGCAAATGCTCATTTCTCTTTTGGAACTCAAGTTCATACCAGACTCCAAGTGAAACCTTTATATACGATCTATCGCTGGAGACGCTGTAAAAATGGTCGTCTGCCTGTACATGACTCCACCTAACATGTTCTAACTCTACAAGAGCCATATTAGAACTAAAATGGAGTTGTGCCGCAAGTTCATAACTGACCACAAGTGAATTCTTTATATACGATCCATCGCCGAAAACGCTGCAAAAAGGACCAATGTACCTGACTCATCCTAACATGCTCTACCTCTACAAGAGTTTGAATAGACCTAAAATGGAGTGGTGCTACCATATCAGAACCGGAGCTGCCGATCCTTATTTCCCTGTTGGTACTCCAGCTCATACCAGACCCCGAGTGCAATCTCTATATACAAACTATCG